TGTCTTTTTTATGTTGAGTCTGGGTTGTCTGCAAAGTAACTGACTGATTAGGGATAATCCAGTGTACACTTCATTCTTAATTTTGTGAGAATTAAATCTTAATGCCCATCATTTTTAGTGCATTACATATTGCGTATTATAGTTACTTTTAACATCAGGTAATCAGTAAAGTAACTAGATTACTTCTTCAAGGTCACTATGACATCTCTGATTACTCTTCACAAATTAGATGCTCACTATTCTAGTGCACCTAATACACCGCTTATCCTCGCAGCTCACGGGTTTTATTCTTCAACATTCATGTATTAAAATGTTGGCAAAACTGTTTTTTTTTTTATGTTGAGTCTGGGTTGTCTGCAAAGTAACTTGCATTACATATTGCGTATCATAGTTACTTTTAACATCAGGTAATCAGTAAAGTCACTAGATTACTTTTTCAAGGTCACAGTGACATCTCTGATTACTATTCACAAATTAGATGCTCACTATTCTAGTGCACCTAAATGATTTGCTCTGGGGAAAAAAAGAGGCAAAATGATCAGTTTCTCAGATTTTTATGTTTCTAGGTTTGAGTAAAATGAACAATGTTTGTTTTATTGCATCAACTACGGACAATACACTGTAACTCCTGAATTCCAAATAGACACCTTTCTCTTTTCACTTACGACTTGTAAATTTTTTTTGGTGGCCTTAATGCACTTTCGTAATTTGTATTTAATCAAATATGTATTGTTCGTTAATTTACCCTTTCATGTACCCCGTGGGATTTTTATGTTTCTAGGTTTGAGTAAAATGAACATGTTAGTTTTATTCCATCAACTATGGACAACACACTGTAACTCCTGAATTCCAAATAGACACCTTTCTCTTTTCACTTACGACTTGTAAATTTTTTTGGTGGCCTTAATGCACTTTTGTAATTTGTATTTAATCAGATATATATTGTTCGTTAATTTACCCTTTCATGTACCCCGTGACCTGACAACATGATAAGATGTCCATTGTAGTAACCGCCGTCCCTGAAACGGTTACGTTTATATTTCACATGAAAATAATACAAAAGCCATTTGAGGACTTAGGTAGATGATTGACTGAACATAAGATTAAGAAAACAAGCCAAAACGAGAGGACCCGTCTGTTTCCGGTTAGATTTTTCTTTGTTGAATTTGAATAGACTGCTGATGGCTATCGTTGCCCCGCTCTGGGTATGAATCAAAGCATTCGGGCTGCCCTCAAATGTACAGCACATGGATTTTGGATTGCCGGCTTCACAGTTAATTGTGGAGAAGATAGATTCTAAGTGCCGGGAGCAATTTCACTGGCACAATCTCTCGCACAACAATGACCCACGCAGCTTTGAATATTCTCAACAAGAGCGTTGTAGGGGAGGCTTTTGTTGCCGGTTCAGTTATTTCAAATCAATAGCGGTTGCGGCGTTTGGCGTATCGCAGATGACAAAATACAAGCACAGTTGATCAATGTACAGGAAAAAAATGTCTGACTTGAAGCAGTTCTAAAACACACACAGCACATCTTTAATGTAATTGTTGTGGATTTTTTAGTTTAAAGAGGGAATTGCTCATTGATCATTCAGTAGTTAACTTGATTCATCTTCGTGGGCAATGGGAAATTTTAGGTGATATCTTGCCGAATCATAAATTCAAATGTTTTTATTGCTAATTGCTAATTAAGAAGAGTGCCGTTTTTGGTCACTTTCAACCTAACACAAAAATAAATATGATTATAATATTTTTATTGCTAATTGCTAATGAAGAAGAGAGACGTTTTTGGTCACTTTCAACCTAACACAAAAATAAACACTTCGATGTATTTAATACACAGCAACAATTCAACCGAAAAAATGAATGTGTATAAGCCTAACACAAAAATAAACACTCCTACGGTTCGATGCATTTAATACAGAGCAACAATTCAACCGAAAAAATGAATGTGTATAAGTAAACTCTCACAATTCCAACCCACCATGGTTTTCATTTAAAAACTGTAAAGTACTGCTGTGTTATAAATAAATAATCACCCTGGTTAAGGTGAGAAGCTCGGTGATCCGCGAGGGGCTCAGACTCGAGCTGCTTCTTCTCCACTTCGAGAGCAGCCAAATGAGGTGGCTCGGACATCTAATTAAGATGCCTTCCGGTGAGGTGTTCCGGGCATGTCTCACTGGCACGAGGCTGCGGGGATGACCTCGGACACACCTGGGAACGCCGCGGGATTCCCCCGGGAAGAGCTGGAACAAGTGGCCGGGGAGAGGGAAGTCTGGGCTTCCCTGCAAAAGCCGTTGCCCCTGCGACCCAAGCAAAAAGGGGCAGAAAATGGATGGATGGATGGATGGATGGACTTTGGTTAAGTGTTGGCGGCATAGGCGGGGTCCAACATTCAGCCGTTTTGAGTCGTGGCCCTGTGAGCTCAGTTGTGGTGGCCTTGTTAGAATTGGTACTACAGTGAAACTCCTCTACAACGAAATCATGTTTGCAGCAAGACATTTTTCACAACAGGGGGTTTTTCACTCTAGCAAATTTAATCTCAGATGTAAACACATACATACACACAAAATCATATGTGTACACGCACACACAAACGTACGTGTACTCTTTATTTTTATTCCAATAGTGCATAAGTATGAGCATACATTTATTTGACACTTCATATCGTCAGTGTAGAAAGAAAAATAGGGAAAGAAATTGCGAAATTTACGATCAGCATTCACTTTCACTGACATCAATTTCTTGGATAATGTCTTTTATTTTGCTTCCTCGGTCTTTCATTTTGATCACTTTTAGCCTCTCTTCCAGCGTCAGAGCTCTTCTTGTCTTAGCTGCTTGACATCCAAAGGTCTGTTTTGGAGCCATTTTAGCAATGCAACGTTCTTGTTGTGTCTAAAACTAACAATAACAAATACTTCCTGTACTACTGCGCATGTGTAAACCAGTGTGGTGGTTGCTGTTGCCACTTCCGAACGAAGCAGTCGAGGTCGCTGTTGGATTAGACTTCGTTGCAGTGAATCTCGTCGCGAGGCAAGAGCAGAGAAAAAGATTTCGTATAACGCAACAGGGTTTTTTTTTGTTGTTTGGGGGGCAGGAAAGTGGGAATGGTGTTAATGCATGAAGATTTTTTTCACACTAGGGGGTATTTTCGCCCATGTAGGTTTCGTTGTAGAGGAATTTCACTGTAGCCCCATGTGCAATTATCCATGATATAATACAATAGGTTCCAATGATCATTTTATACTATACTGGATTATTTAAGAGTTAAAGCAAGTGCTTCTCAATAGTTAGTTGTTTTGCATGTAATGTGTTTTGGGGCAGTGTATAAAATACAAGATGTGAAATATATTACAATAAAACACCATATGAATATAAAATCCAATATTTGACGTCAAAAGCAAGAACCTATTGATTTCATTGTATTTATTCATTAAATTTTAAATAGCCCGGGCAGGCCATTAACTGCAAGGGATATGGTGGGCCGACACAGTGTCATACATGCCCCAAATAAATGAATAAATAAATATATCTCTGAAGATGCGATGTTGTTGATATTTGTATACTGGGATATAAGTATAATGACCGGTAAAAATAGATCAATGCTTTCTTTTGTTCCTCTGTCAGCTAGATCCACAGCATGTTGTTTACTATTCAGGCTTTGTATCATTCTGTTGATTCTCTTGCGACTTCGTACACGGTTGGCTTCTTATTTACATGCGCTTTGACTCTATGAATAGTGCGTCTCTGGCGCATGCTCCACCCCTCTACTTTCCTGTACAAAGACAGCAGCGTTTAATCTGACAGATGCAGTCGCACGCCACTTTCTGCATCCCGAACGACTGCTTCTGTGCCACGAATAACATCAATAGTTTCCAGTTTTGGAGGGTTAGAATGAGAAAGCCTTTCGACGTATAGATGCTTGATGAATCATATTACAGCACATCTGCTGACGGATAAAATTTCAAACTAATGCGGGATAATCGCACACGACAGTATTTATTTAGCAATCCCTGGACACCATGCGAATGGGCCCGCTCGTGGCTGTGAGTAGCAAAGGGTTGACATTTGAGAGATCTGATTGGATGTACTATCGAGTGCTCGGCTCTGCAATGCCTTCTGTTGAATCCCCCAAAAGATTTTTACAATCTACTTTTATTTCTGTTGGAGTACTGTTGTTTTACACTATTTGGGAATGTCAATCAGACAGGTGCAGGTGCGGCCTTGCACAGCCATCAACAGTTTTACAATGGGGTTGCCTTTATCCTTCTTGAAATATAGACATAAACATTGTGTTCATTGTAAAAAAAAAAAAACAAAAACAAAAAAAACATTCATAACTTGTTTTTCTAGTCATTGGCACTGCCGTGAACGATACAAAAAGAACCAGCATCAGCATCAGCAACACGTTTCGGTTGTGGAGACAAATATTTTAAGCCCGAACAGACATGTCAGCATGTTATGAGCAGGTGTTACAGTGATGCTTGGGATTAAGTTGTTTTTTTTTTTTGTTTTTTTTTAATTCAACAGGGAAATCATTTCGTACAGCAACATGTGAGGAATTTTGAAAGGGTTTTTAATATGCCAGATGTACACACACACACACACACACACACACACACACACACACACACACATAACCTTTTTCACAAGTTGGAAAAAAAAAATACCCATTCTTTTCTGGTGTTTTTCTAAGGTAGCATGGTGGAGTCCTGTTGAGCAAATCTGCCTCATCGTTCTGAGGTTCCGGGTTTGAATCTTGGCTCGGGCTCTCTTGTGTGACATTTGATTGTTCTCCCAGGGTTTGTATGGGTTTTTTTGAGGCTTAACTGGGGCATGGCATCTACATATTAGAGCAGACAACACAATTTGTGGTGTTGAGGATATTCCAACTTAGATTTTGGGGGACCTGCTAATGATGATCACATTTACAGTAAATTGTATTGAAAGTCAAATGACACCAAAGCGGCGCTCTAGTAACTAACTAACTTGTGTGTCCAGCCATGTTCACGGAGGTGCCTCATGATGTAACCGCTCAGAGGGGTCAAGATGTGGAGATGGCCTGCTCGTTCCGGGGGGCCGGCATGCCCTCCTACTCTCTCGAGATCCAGTGGTGGTACATCCGGAACCATATGGACTGGACAGACAGACAGCCGTGGAAAACCAATGAGGTAACATCGTTGTAGCGGTTGCTACAGTGGACAGCCTGTCATGTTATCAGGTTACAGGTTAGCATTATTCATGCATGAATGGGTTAAGATAACAACAACAACAACAACAACAACAACAACAAAACGTTTAACAGTTTCAGAGTAATGTTGATGCTGCACTCATCAGCGTAGTCAAAGTACCGCGTGTACAAACAAACACCCATGACCATACGTTTGCAAATTCCACAATTGACCATAATAATGGCACTTTGATAAGCGTTAAGAAATCGTTCAGACTTCAGTTGTGCGGACCTGATGACTGCATGGACTTTCCTATTTAGTGCAGTCCTCAACTGCAAACAGCAGAGGCGCTGTTGATTCAGTCTCAGTCTGTCTAAAGAAGAACGCCAGCAAAAGCCGATATCGAAAGCTATTTACAATACTGGGTTGAAACAGGAAATCAGAATATTCAGCGCGATATTTTTCCATCCGTTGTAGTTTCAAACATCATCGAATAATTGATTGGTTATTAATTTCAAGGAAATGTAATCAAATGAGCATGCTTAATCGAAAAATTTATTTTTAGATTAAGAGTGACATTTTTTTAACATCTACTTAGTTCACTTAAGAATATGTCGTTAGGCAGAAAACACTGGCACCCTCAGTTAGCGCTGTTTTTTTTTCCCCCATTGGCTTGTTTAATGCTAATGAATAAAAAGTGTTTTTTTTTTTTAATAATGGAAGCGTATGTACAAATTTGCTCTAGCAAACTGAGCTCTACAGTAAAGTGAGGGACTTTCCTAAAAAGAAGACATCAGTGCCAAGATACAAGTGAAATTTTGTGGCCGTATTTTGTCCAATTGTGACATTCAACTTGTACCACATTCTTTTTTTGTAAATGCCGATGTCATGTTCATCTTCGGTTCTCTGAAATGCACTTAGAACATACAAGCAATCGTCGTTATGTTTAAAATATGATGTTTTCAAAGGCTATATTTTTCTTTTATTGCTTTTAATTTCTAAAATTGGAAAATGCGGGTCCTGGGGTGACAACAGTTCATAAGAGCACACGGTTGCATTGCACTGTATGTGGCAATCCAGTGCGCTGTGATGCCTCTACCACCTTTTAATCCCTCGGTTCATTTCATGGTTCGTTTTCTGAAAAAAAAAAACTGTCACTTCTTTTCCCATCAAAATTGGGAAGTAATCCTGACTCTTCCTATTTTACGCAGGTATCTCCAGAGGAGGAGATGCCAAAGGATGCTACAAAGATAAGCGTGAGTTAATTGCCTCTATGCTCTGAAACCTGCTGTTAAGAATCTTCGATGATTACATGAGGCGCCAACCCCATTCTGATTGCATTTACATTTCTTGTTCTGGCTGATTTGCCGGTGTTGCTGATCCCATTTCACACTAGGGATGGCATTTTTTTTTTTTTTTGATGCAATCATCGCATCGACAAGGTCCTGTCATCCTCGATGGTCTTCACGGCCACTTAACGGCAACGCTGGCTCTTTCAAAGTATATGTTCTTCTTGTCCCTCCTGGTTTCCACGGTAACTTGGCATTTAGAGAGGAGCCGGTAGCGCCATATCAGGTTCAAATGTGGATTTTCTTTTCGATTAAATGTAAAAGGCTCCACTAGCTTTAATGACCATTTTTCCACAGCAGTCACAAGGACGCATACACTTGGTAGGATTACGACCAAAAAATAGAAATCTGTGTCTGTGTCTGTGATCTGAGTTTCAAGATTTTTAAGTAGCTCGTATCCCTTCCATACATTTATTCCACAAACGCCTCCATATCTTCCTCCGTGGTATGTTTTCAAAGGATAGGCAAATGAGTTTCGCATTTGTTATGGATGTGAATCAATGCATACATATAAGAAATAAAGGCCCAGGGAGCAGTAAGCTGTGACTGTGTGTGTGTGTGTGTGTGTGTGTGTGTGTGTGTGTGTGTGTGTGTGTGTGTGTGTGTGTGTGTGTGTGTGTGTGTGTGTGTGTGTGTGTGCAGCTTGGAGACTCGTTACAAGCTTGGCGTCCCATATGCATATCCATAGGCGCAGACGCCAAGTGAAAGATGTCGCCTGGTGGATAATGAGCCATGCGACAGTTTTAGATGATCCACGTGCACGCGAGTGTTCACTCTTTAGTCCCATTTACTCCGAACAGTATTCAGTTTACTTTAGTACAGGTGAGATCCTGATTTGAAAGTCTGCAATATACATGCAAAAATAAATAAAAATAAAAAGTAAAGATAGGTTGTGCTGCATCCATCTTGCTGACCACAACATCAGGACAGAGTTGCAACACAGTCGGTCTGTTTCCTGGTTGATTGGACAGTTTTCCCATTGTAAATGTTAAATAACTCCAAGGTCGCAATGAAGTACAGTGGTACCTCGACTTACGAACGTCTCTTTATACGAAATTTTTAAGTTACAAAACGCCTCAACAGGAAAATATTGCCTCTTGTTACGAAAGAAAGAGCAAAAATACGAAAGGTAAAAATATAGAATGGACTGCTACTCGCAGCTCCGAGTTTCCTGAACGCAACATGCTTATAGCTGCTCCGCCGTTGGCTATTATGAGCATCTTCCTGGCATCCAATTGGCTAAGAGGGAACTGTAGCCTATATGTTGTTGTGTGTAGATATATAGAGATGTGTCTATGCTGCGTCCTCGTCATTCGCCCCTCGGGCCATGAGGCGTTCCGATAGTTTTACGTAAATGTGAATCACCCCGAAAAAGTGTTCACCAGTCGGGCGATCGCTCACGATGCTGATATTTGCCTGGGACATTTTCAAAGCATTGTTAAAAACCGACAAAAGCAAACGTCCTTGGATCAGTTCTTGACAAAACGCCAGGCAAAAAACACTTCTGAGAGAGAACATGAACTAAAGAGGCCACAAAACGACGAGGACGCGGTTACAACTTGAACGACCATCATTTTTATGCTTTATTCTTTGTTTTTTACATTATACTCAACTCTCATTTATTGTACAATAATCAAATTGTAACATGTATTTGTTACATATTTTGATGCATTTTTATGCTTGAGAAAACATGTATGTCTGAATTTTTTGGGGGGAGGGGGTGGGGCTTGGAACGCATTAGGGCATTTACATGGAAAACGCGTCTCTACTTACAAAGTTACATACCAAAATAATTATGATCTCAATAAGACCCAATTGTAATTACTCAGTGTGAAATCTGGGCTTGTTGAGTTGAACACAAAGTTGATAGACTATAGCAAGAAGCCAGTACTTACTGTATGAACTGCAACAATTTTAATTGTGCCTCCTTGCCAGCGAGCGGAAGAAGCATTTAATTACTCTGCCCGCACTGAAAAAGCACCGCGTGTTGAATTTAATCAATTTTATTTCCTGAAGTGGCTGCACAAAATAAAATCAGCTCTATCCGCAACCGCTTAGACGAAATAAAATTGAGTAAAATCAAGAAGGACTGTTTTTCAGTGCGTCAAGCAAAAGATGACCTAAAATACATTGGTAGAAATAAATAAATAAGACTCTTCGGGACAATGAAGTTCAATTGGACAATTTAAATGAGTCACACACGACGATGTCTCGTGATGATGCGCTTGGTTCGTAAACAAACAGCCATCGTTTCATTCGTTTCACTTTTTTTTTTTTAACCAGCCTTGACTGAGGTCTTCACTTCAAATAATCAACGAATCATGCAATTGATTCATCCATTTTCCATCACGCTTGTCCTCATTCGGGGCGAGCTGGAGCCTATCCCAAGTCCAAAAATACAAGACGCTGCTCTCAGTTTGATGCAGCGCAGTACTACACCACTGGAAACGTGTATGAATACATTCAAAAGGTGTGACGAGCAGTTTTTGAGACAGAGCTCATTACATTGTGCTAATGGTCATAATGTTGCATCTCCCGTTTCAAGATGAGCAGGAAGGCGATGCTTGTGCGAGCCATCATCTGGGAATATTAACTACAGACGTGTTGTAATGAGTGGATAGTTTCATTTAGCTGCAGTGAAATTAAACTAAAGCTACGCACACGCTCATAGACGTGCACGCACGCCTTTTCCTAATGCGGATATGGAGAAAAAAAATATTCGCCTGATGTCACCCAACAATGGTGACACCCATGTAGACACAGACCGTGAATGGCAAAACATACTTTACAAGATTCGAAAAATATTTCTGATTACATGGGTGGCCCGGTGGTCGACTGGTGCAGGGTTCAATTCCGGCTCCGGCCTTCCTGTGTGGAGTTTGCATGCTCTCCCCGTGCCTGCGTGGGTTTTCTCCGGGTACTCTGGTGTCCTTCAACATTCCAAAAACATGCGTGGCAGGTTCATGGAACACTCTAAATCGTCCCTAGGAGTGATTCTGAACGCGACTTTTTGCATTATGGCTGTTATTATTTTTTTAATTAATTTTTGGAAAAAAAAAACAAAAAACAAAGCGAAACACCGAAGCCGCATAAATTGAAACGCTCAGTGGCGAGTGATCACTGTAGTTTTTTGATTGCCGGTTGACAGTTGAGCCACATTCAGTGTACACACCAACAGAGTTTGAGAGCGGCGTGAAGAGCTTGATTCTTCACGCTTCTGAAGACTCCTTTCATCGACAGTACTTGCTGATATTTTTTCATCATTCAAATTTTGTTGGGTTGTTAACATTCTTCTATGCGGTATGTCAAATTTACGATATACAGTATATTTCTATTCACTTTACAGACACTTTCAAGTTGCATTTTGGATACTGCGCAGCATGAATTTTTCTCACCTCACCTTGCTTTTTGTTGTCATCCGTTACCAGGTAGTGAAGGTCGTGGGAAGTAACATCTCCCACAAGCTCCGCCTCTCCCGCGTCAAGTCATCCGACGAGGGCACTTACGAATGCCGAGTCATCGACTTCAGTGACGGAGAAGGGGCGCGCCACCACCGCGTGCGCGCCTACCTGCAGGTAGTAGCCGAGAGCGACATCATCACCAGAAACCAGTATGACAACTTCCAGGTGCTGGATGACACCAAAGGCAATTCGGGGTTCGAGCATGCTCACAGCCACCCCCAAAATGAGGGGCGCTCCCAGGAGCACGGCAAGCGACTTTCCTCTGCCTCGCAGCACAGCCATCCCAACGGCGGCAGAAAGCTGAGGAAGCGGGATGTGGACAGTAACCATAGCAACAATGACTGCTCCAATGAGCCCAGCTGCGGTGCTGTAATCTGATTGCATCTGAAAAAAAAATAAAATAAAGCACATTAGATTGCAATGTATGATGCGCATAAAAGCTACACTTTACAAACAGTGCCAAACCCACAATCTCATACGCAGTAAATGATAACCTCGGCTTGTTGAGGGCTCTTTGCCGGGAATGTGTAGCTTTCCTTTCTTAAATCAGTTTTGTTTTGTGTCCGATGTGCCCTTTTTCTAAAATGACCCATTTGAGTTCATTTTACCTTGCATGAAGTGGACACAAACCTGCACTCTCAATCCATTCCACAAAATAAATAAATAAATAAATAAAATAAAACAGACTTGCATTCAGTAGAGTGCAAACATCTGCCACCACAAAATTTCAACAAAGGTGAAAATCCATGTTAGTTAGCAGACTTCTTGGTTCATTGCGGATTAATGTAAAACACTGTAAAAGAACAGAAGGTGACATTCTGATTACACTGCTAAAAAAAAAAAAAAAAAAAGTGGGGGGAATGAAAATTTCAAGGCAAAAAATCGATAAAATTTTATGTTGGACAATTCAACAAAACATTTTAAATTGTACAGGTGTGAAAACTGTTTTCCCCACATTTCACAACAAAGAAATAGTTTAAAGAACTAAAGTAAAAAAAACAAAAAAACTCAGCCAGTTGTTGCTTTGTTGTGTGAGCAAAGATTTATCATTTAAAAGTTTTCCAACTTAAATGATTGTTTTAGCCCCCCAAAAATACGTTTTTTTTTTACAGTGTATTCTGTGGACTGCTATTCACTGTATTTGCATTAACATGTAACATGAGTTTTTTTCTTGCCTCACGAGACAATTTTTGAGTAAAGCGTCATCAAAACAACATCTCGCAAAATTCATCGTTGGTAGAGGCTAAACGTCCTCCTCCCTGCCCGTTTTCTGTCCTCACAAAGGTTGCAGGTGAGCTGGAGCCTATCCCAGCTGATTTTTGAGCGCGATGCAAAATACATCGCAACCTACTTCTAGAAAAACAACCACTCGCGCTGAGGGATAATTTAATCTCCAATGCGTCTTCTTTGTTTGAAGCATCTGCCGCCCCAACGAAAAAGTTTGGTGCTGTTGGTTTTGCTTAATCCTGCGAACAAAGTCAACAAGCGATAGTGATTTGGTTGCAACGCATTTGTTTACATGTGCTTTGATTCTGTGATTGTCATGAGCGAGAAACCATTCGGCATTCAATTCATGGATGGAATAAAAATCAAGTAGGCTAATATTCTCCGCGGATCTCACCAACTAAATATATACTGTACATACAAAATTATGAATGTGCTCTTTTGTTTAGGAGACGTTCTTAGAAAAAAAATGTACAATATTGGTATATTCAGCCTTGTATTTTCATAATAATAACAACAACGATGTTCTTCTATTGCTCATCAGCCATGAAAAAAAGCCTCAATCCTTTGGACGGTAAGCCTCGAAACTACTTTGTAAATAACGACACTGTATAACATGAAGCGAATGCATGTTCGGTTGTTTTCTTAAAAGCCTTTTCAAAGAAATATACAAAGATGCCGCATTTGCTTCCCTCCCTCTCCAAATATTGTTTGGTTGTTAAAACTATGTTGTTGTATTTGATCTCCTGCGTTACTTGTTCAGTTGGATTTTTTTTTCTTGTTGTTTTTGTTATTTTTCTCAGCTTTTCCAAAAGTGCTGTACAGACAGATGAATGACATTTTGAGATAACCTATCTTAGTATGTACCTGTCTGCCAACGTCCAAGAGATTGGCTCACGATTCTGAGCGATTTGGGAACGTTGGCAATGGCTTAAGAGACTTCATTTCATCTCTGCCATTTTTGTAACCACTAGTAATAATCTTATTCGTGTACATGCTTGAGTGGAGCCCGGCCATCAGCCCACGCTGGTCTCGACTTTGCTCCAAAGGGATCCAACGGGACAGAGTGAATATTTTGTGATGATAGCGCTTAGCCTATTTTGCCTCAAAGACCTTGTGGAAGGTTTTGCTCCGTTCAAGTGAACAACAACAGTCCCCGAAGAACACTCTTTTGGACTCTTTCCACCGGTTGTTACGATTTGAAGGCTAGTCCAGGAAATAAGAAGGAACATGTAAAATTGCTCCGCGCAACAGTTTGAGCTCATGCTAACATGTATGCCGCACAGAAAATAAATAGCATACAAACATTGATGATTGTGTCATTGTTGCCTGAAGGGAAATGTTGCAGCATTTTAGACAACACACATTGAAAAACATTTATGTGGCGCTGGACAAATTTTAGTACGTAATCACTTTCTTTTTCTTTTTTTTTTGTAGGGAGTGGCTTAGAGTAGCTAGCTTTAAATACATTGCTACTTGAGCAAAGTGGAGACAAAAAGTCATTGTTCCGCTGCGTTTATTCAACAGCATAAACACTTTAATGCAAAATGAACTCACTGCCATGGAGCATGGAGCAGGATTAATACTAAACTAACTGTGTGGTCAGACGCCTACATAAGATGGAGTTGGTGCTCCAGATGTCACTTGCCCCGCCCCTTAAAAGCATGGACTGACACACAAATGTACTACATCCATCCATTTTCCGATCTGCTTATCCTCACAGGGGTCGCGGGGGGTGCTGGAGCCTATCCCAGCTGTCGGCCAGTAGGTGGGGGACACCCTGAACCGGTTGCCAGCCAATCGCAGGGCACACAGCTACGAACAACCATCCACGCTCACACTCACACCTAGGGACAATTTAAGTGTTCAGCCTGCCGTGCATGTTTTTGGAATGTGGGAGGAAACTAGAGTACCCGGAGAAAACCCACGCAGGCCTAGGGAGAACATGCAAACTCCACACAGGGAGGCCGGAGCTGGAATTGAACCTGGTACCTCTGCACTGTGAGGTCAACACGCTAACCACTGGAGTACCTGGCCGCACCAAATGTACTACAGTGTGTGTAAAATTTCTGTCTTGATTAGAATGTATAAACCCAGTTTATTTATTTGCATTCTTCACTTTTTTCTATACCACCGTAACATTATAATTTGTCATGAAAATCCTGTGGGGGTATTAAGGCAGCAGCACCCTTTGCAGGTGCTTGTGTATCTGAGGCCCCTCCCACCTGCGTTGACGCTGATGACTAATGGTGCTGTTGTCAGGCGCTGGCAGGGGGATAAATAGCCGCGGCACACAATGAGATAAAGAGACGGCGTGCCACATTTGCTTTACATTAAGTCGGGCCGCCTAAATGGAAAAGGTGTCGTCCTTGTTTCCTCACAGCGGAGGCCTCGTACATTCATTACGGCACACTGAAGGTGGGAAGCTTGGGGCACCCCACCCCCAGCCTCCCGCCGCCACCCGACCAGAGAGGTGATGCGATAATAGAGAGCGACTGGGCCTCCTTTATTGAAACACAACCTGAATGGCGAAGGCTTAAGAGCAATAACAGCTGTGATGGGTGATATGTCGGCTGCCTGTGAATAACAGCAGCAAGAAAGCCTTTCAAAGACTACCACCACATTGTTCCCTTTGTTGGATAGACTACCTGCTTGGCGGGGCCGACGATTCCTTCATGACACTTCCGAGCATGAAAGCCTGTGAAAAGGCATTGAGTCGCGGACCGTCAGCAAGTCATCATTCAAGCAAGGCTGTAACAAGAAGGTAATTTATTTGGAATACAAGATGATACATTCAGTCAGGTCAAAGAATGGTGAATGAGTGAATTTCTATTTGGGGAATGCGTTACTTTTTACCGGAACTACTAGAACATCTTGTCATTCAGTCATTTGCGTTTTTTTAAACATCTGCACATACTGTATCTGATTAATGAGGAAACATTATTTTGTATCATTTTAAAGCAGTGGTTCTTAAACTGGGTTCGATCGAATCCCAGAGGTTTGGTGAGTCGGTCTCAGGGGTTCGACGGAGTCCCTGCCATGGAGGGTAAGACAAGCGACTCAACATGTTAATTAGTTATGACACGCCCGCTTGGCCATCACTGGCTGCAGATGATCACATGACATTGCTTGTCCAATCAGTGCTGTGGGAAATTTAGTTCGCTTCGTCGTCAACGTGTGACTGTTGTGGTCGTACGTCGTAAATTAAAAAAAAAAAGTCTCTTGAAATTGTATTTACTTTTTTCTGTTTTTAAATAAAATTTAAATTTTTAAACAACGTTTTAACCGTTTATGCGTCCAGTTAATTGTCGACCAGTGCCTATTCTAAAAACATTACCAAAAAATCTTTACCACACCAAACATTTATTCCTCATGTGCTGTATTCAAGTTTGACTGAAAAAAAACATTCTGTATACAAGTTCATTTTCTTAATTGTAGTCGTGATAAAGTGGGCGGATTACAGGACAAAAATGAGAACAAAAAAACTCCTGTGCCACAGTCCGAACATGAGACGGTTACCTGGAAAGTTATATAAAATTAGAGCTTGGATAAAAATGTCTACAACATCTGTACACGCATCGATCTTCTGCACTGAACTGTCCCCTGGGAGTACTTTGGTCACAATCGGCCCTACTCGTCACCCGTTTGGCCAAATTCCTCCCTCAGCAGTTTGAGCACATTGTCCGAGTACTCGTCCCTGGGGCGTCCCATCCCGCTCAACCACACGGGCTGCAGGTCGGGGTGGGGTGGGACGAAGGAGGACGGGCAGTGGAGCTCATTTAACATCAACCAGAAAGCATCGGGGTCCACCTGGGTCAAGTGGTGGAAAACGCTGCGGAGAAAAAAAAGAAAAAAAAAACGGCAGGAAATTCAACCTGGGATGCATTCGGCAACATTTTTTTTTCAGAAAAGTAGCAATTGGTGTCAATGATGTACTGTTGACGTGATGAGGGACCAAGATCTTTGAATGTCATGATTAGCTCAAGTATACACTTGAGCAAGTAAAATGTTAAGTTACCTCACTTTACAACTGAATCGCTCTCCTTGCAAAAATGAATGATTCAACACTGGCAACCAAAGATGACTGCGGTTGCGATGTGGTGATGTTTGGTTTTACCTCAAGCAAGCCTGTTGCAGTCGGATGGGTTGTTTGCAGCTCAGGTAGGGCAGGCACGCTTCACAAACAACATCCAAGTCCGCTTCAGCTGCAAATACACAGGCCAGCAAATAAAACAGGACGAAAATCAAGAAAAAAAAAACTGTCAGAAAGTATTGTACATATTTGGAAAATTCATGACTTGAACCTGGGGAAAAAAAAAAATTGAAGACATAACTGCACTTTTGCTTTAGACGGTCATCAGTAGTTTTTCTTTATTTTGTTTTAATGCAAGACCATTCCGGTGGAGACGATGGCGATTGCTTAATCGTGGAGTTCATTATTTTACAAATATTTCCTGTGGGAAAAAGTGTTTTTTGGAATTCAAACAATTTGCAGCGTAAATCGCGTCACTGACTGGATTCTATTGGACTTTAGTTGTTCCGCTGACTGTTTGGAACTGATCGCCGATTAATTATATCTTGAAGCAATGGGGGCAAAATGAAGTGCAGTACATGGCTGTGACCAGAAGAGGAGCGTTTAATTCATCCATCCATCCATCCAGGACTGTTTTGCCACCTAAAGAAGAAGAATGCAACATGCAATGGGAAGTTGCGCTCCATCCACGTCCATCGTGGCACAACTGCTCGCGGGCTGAATTATTCAGCTCGATACAACACTGATATGAACGGAATACCTTCGAGCAATTCTTCCACGTCAATAATATGTCATGCGCTGTAAAAAAACAAAAAGTTTCTAATAATGAAATCCTTGTTGCCATCCCTCAAGACGGTGATGAGATAAAGAGGAGGATTTTGGAGACGTTGCATTTTTGAGGCCCTTAGCAGGGCAGCCTGAGGGAGCAAGACTCACAGTGGGGTGCTTGTGCTTATCACGCTTTCATCTGCTTCCCTTTCCTTTTTCGAAGCGGTGAAAAAAGGTCGGGTTGGTGTGAAAAGCCTGACCGACCCCTTTTCATGTCTCACCGGCTTCCTGCTGCACTTTCAAGTCCGCCGAGCCACTATGCCTCACCCCAACTGGACTGTCACAAGCCTGCCAAATGCCCACTTTTCTTTTCCTCCCATGTTGCCTCGCTTCAAACTCATCTGGCTTTCTTCATTCTGACACCCCCAACCTTCGCATGTCGTCCGATACGGGCATCCATCCCCTGACAGACACTTAGCCATTCCCTTAGGTGCAAAATGGGCTTCTTTCAAGCTTCATTTCAAAACACGTCGATTTCCCCACACTCGCCGGCGTGTCAAGAAGAAAAGAAGCGGGGGCACATTTCCGAGTTCAATGGGATTATTCAGCTGCCACTTCCCCATTCCCTTTTCTTCCATTCTATCGGCTGCTGCTTGTACTCGTGACCACTTGCTTTGTGGATGCTTGGCATTCAAGCGCGAGGAGCTCACAAATACTCAGGTATCCTTCGTAGCTCTGTGGCAAATGAAGAAAAGGTGACAGTTGAAGCAGAAGCCGAATGACCGGGGGGGCATTTCATCATTTTGCTCCTGTCCGCAGCTCGCTGTATGACTGAGGCTTCCTAATTGGCTTGCTGCAGGCGTCCCAAAGGCGAGCCGGAGCCAAATCGGTATTCACATGAGTGAGGCGGCATGTGGCCGCAGACTGTTTCTCTCCTCTGTTGCTCAGTCACATGCTCACCACCTCGCCAAGAAAGTCTCTCCTTGTGCTATTGGGGGTGGGGTGGGGGATGGTAGGGGTGGGGGTAATCCAGTAAATCCCCCCCCAACCCCCCACTCTTCGAGCCCTGCGGCAAATAGCGAAAGACTGGGAGTAACTGAATTGATTATTAATTGAAATCATAAATATGGATGATGGCAAACTGGTTTAAATATCGTTTCAAACTCATCTCACATTACCCATAAAAATTAATGGTGTGCAAATGATTGGATTTAGGGGGGAAAAAATGCACCGGGTGTGCACATGTGCCGAAGACTGTCCGTAATTTCCACTCACAACCCAACATAAACTTGGCTCCGCCCCAACATACAAAAATCTTGGACCACTTCAACAATACTTCCTTGACTTCAATCGCTGCTTTCCTTTGGTGCCATCTTGTGGTGTTATAAAAAGACAATAGAAATTCTTCGGGCAGTAGGCAGGGAACACCCTGAATCAGTTGCCAGCCACTCGCAGGGCACACATAGATGAACGACCATCCGTGCTCACACTCACACCTAGGGACAATTTTGAGTGTTCCATTGACCTGCGATACATTTTTTTGGAATGTGGGAGGAAACCAGAGTACCCGGAGAAAACCCATGCATGCCCAGGGAGAACATGCAAAATCCACACAGGGAGGACCACCGGGATGCCAAGAATGGAAATATGTGAATGCAATTTTTTTTATACAGTATATCCCAAAGCCATTTTGAATTGCGTCACAACGTAGCATCAACAGTGTGTCTGATTTACAATTTCTCCAACCATGATTTGGCAGCTAAATGGGCTAACAACTGCTGTTTGGTGACGTGACCAATAATGTGGCACACTGTATGAAGTGCTGACAGGATGAGTGAAAATCCTTTTGGGGCACTGACTGGGCACTGATGACAAAAACGTGACATTGATTTGAAGTTTCAACGTGGTAAATGTTGATTTGTGTAAAACCATGGGTATCAACGAAATGGGGAAATTCTTCTTTTTTTTTTTTTTTTTTTACTTTTTGAAAATAATGTTTTTACCAGCATCAAATAAAATTCGACATAATTTTTAAAGAAATCCTCAAGTTCTCAACCCTTAAAGCTATTTGGGTTAACATTTTAGTCGTAGAAAATATGGCTTTATGAAGTATTTAAAAAAAATAACACTGCCTGTGAGAGCTCAATTACAAAACACCTCCCTGCAGGATTCTCTCTCTCAAAAAAGAAAAAAAAAAATGTCGCTGATTGACTTTGGTGCAGCTCTCATTATACTGGCACAAAATTGACCTTGAGAGAGAATTGCTTGCAACTGTTCCTTTAATTAAGGGATACAAATGTGTGTTTGTTTGTTTGTTTTTTAACACAGTCCACTGAGTATTGTGACACATGATGATGTAATATGAAGATGACTTGGTCACATTTGCACTCTTAACCGTTTCAGGGACAGCGGTTACTATAGTGGACAGCTGATCATGCTATCAGGTTACAGGGTGCATGAAAAGGTTCATACAAGGATGTGACAAGTGGGTTTCATCCATTTATGTAAATTCAACAGCTATCACATACAGTACAAGTGCCCCGCTGGGATTTTAATGATCTGTTGCATTGATGTCAACTTCAACCCCCACCACCACATAAACATACTTTTCATTTGGGTCCACCATTATGTGTTTCACCCTGTCACAGTCGTAATTGATAAATAGGTTGCTGTCGAGTTCGACCTTTCAAAATAAAGCTAATCTCATCAGAGATACAAACACAAACATATTCAATTGTTTTTAAGGAACAGTATTGACATGCAAAGTTGGAACAAAAATCACAATTTTCATGCATTATTTTGATTTCAATTGTAATTATTATTCAGCTATTTTGTGTATCTGGAGACAGGCACCAATAAAATAGCATCAGGTTTTATTAATTGTGCACTGGGTGAATTCAGATTCCATACTGTGGCTGTTCAAGAGAGAAATATTTTCCACTGTTGTGTAAGTCTGACATCTGGTGGTGTAACTGCATGTGGAAATGTGTGTGTGTGTGTGTGTGTGTGTGTGTGTGTGTGTGTGTGTGTGTGTGTGGAGGGGGGGGGGCACTGTACGGTTTTTTTTTCTCTAAGAAATCTTTTTAATATAGCCCTTTCATGCACCAATAATGATAACCTGTAACCCAGGCGTGTCAAACTCATTTTTGTCGCGGGCGTGTTTTGTAGTTATGGTTTGCCTTGGATGGCCGTTCTGAATTTTGGGAAGCCATAAAAATGTTTAATAACCTCCACATATTACATACACAGCACACAACAAATTGATGAATAATTAGTTTTCAAATAAGAAGTCAAGAATAATGAATGCTATTGTGGAATACATATGACAATTTGAAATTTTGGTTCAGACTTTAGCAAGCATCATGGAACTTGACGTGCTTGATTTGCTTTCGCGGGGCACAAAAAATGATGTGGCGGGCCAGATCTGGCCCCCGGCCCTTGACTTTGACACCTGTGCTGTAACCTGATAACATGATAAATTGTCCACTGTAGTAACCGCTGTCCCTGAAAGGGTTAATAACAATAATTATTCATATTGTTATTGTTACCCAGATACTCTCATTATTCTATTGCAATTTGCAATTGCAAAGCCTTGCAATTTATGCAGCTAAAGAAACTGTGTCAAAGCTTGAAATTGTGCACTGTTCTTGCAGCACGCCCCGGGATTATGTGTACATCTGTGTGTGGTTCTTTTCACTCACCCAGGTCCAAGCTCTGGCACAGAGAACCCAGTCCCTCAAGTACCGCCAGCTGCAGTTTGTAGGCCAGAGTGTGAGTATAGACGGGTCCTGCTTTGGCGCTAACGGGAGCCTGTTTAGTCAAAGAGGAGGTCAGCTTCGGCAAAATCTCCTTGGAGACCCTCCTCCTCAGGAAGTCGCCACAAGTGCGACCCAAAGTACACAAAACCTGGAAGAAAACACATGGCTGTTCCGTTTGGTGCTGATCCAAATGAGGATTCTGTCATGAGGCTTAATGACTTGAACGAATATGAAGAATTGTGTTTGTGCAGATTTGGATTGTTTGGACTTGATGAACATTCGGATGCAAAAAAAAACCAAAAAAAAAAAAAAAACACTGTCTTCAACTGAATAATGAATTGCAAAGGGAAAATGTGAAGGTTATTTGCAGATGTGAAACACACGCTGCATAATCACACACCGCGAGCGTGATGACTTCTTTACGTACCCTAAAGGCTCTGAGCACGGCGAGCGGGTCGTCGGCTGTCAGTCTCTGCACGAGAGCGGGCCAGCAGCGATGGGCCATGGGTAGCAATTCGTTTTCCCTCTCACTCAGCACGCTAATGCACAGCTCCAGTACATCCAGCATCTGAGGGGAAAACGCAAGGTGAAGCTGTACATCCCAAAAATGTCACCTGTTTGGCTTTATGTCAAATTGTCACATGTGATTTGGTGGCTTGCGAACTGACGGGCTTGACGCCTGGAAAAATGTTCCTCAGATTCAGGGTGAATATTCTATACCTTATAAGTTGTCATCAAAACATCATTAAGTTGGCGTTAATGTTCAGAGTTGTATTACCGTATTTTCCGCACTAAAAGGCGCACCTCAAAACCTTCCATTTTCTTAAAAGCTCACAGCGCGCCTTAAAATCCGATGCGCCTTGTGTATGGTCATTATGGTAATATGTCAACCCCCAAAATGGCTCCTTGCTAGAGACATGCTGACAACGCAGAGTTCAAACTTAAGGCGATCGGTTTCGCAGTTGAACATGGAAATAGAGCAGCAGCAAGAGAGTTCAACGTTAACGAGTCAGTGTTATAACTTGCTGTTGGTTACGTGAACTGTGTCGCTGCTTTATTAAATACGTTTTACTGACATCTGATTGTCGCTATGTATATCAGGGTATAGTGTAGTGTAGTGTTCTGTTGGCATTTCCTTGAGCGTAGCTACATCTAGTGGATGCATTGTAGATTGCGTCTTATAAAGCGGTTTATCCAATCTATGAAAAAAATTACAAAATAGGCCATTCATTGAAGGTGCACCTCATAATCCAGTGCGCCTTTTGGTGTGGAAAATATGGTATGTGTTTACGAGCGCTAATCAAAAATCTAAAGAAAAAATATATATGTACAATAAACAGTACCTTGAGTCGGAGGCAGAGATTTGAGTCGGACAGCAGATGAATGCAGCGCTCCATAACATCTTTGGTAATGCTGAGGTGGGCGGGCAGTTCGGCTTTCACATCACAGTCATCAGCATCATCGTCTTCTTCAAACTCCGTTGGGGGAGGAATCTCTGGAAAGGCAGTCATATGTCAGTTTGTACGTGCTTTCACGCGGGAATTTAGTGTATCAGAGGTCTAACATTTCTGTTGAGGGATGAGTTTACTATGAATTTATTTACTTACCGCGGCACGAAATTTTTAAATTAGGGGCAAATGTTCTCTTGGTAAAAAGTTCTGCTTATACACTGGCACTGATACAACTTCGGAAGATAAGAAATTCCTCCATCCCCAATTGGTAACTTGCACACATAACAGTGAGCCGGGAAAAACTTGCCTACTTAGGTCTACTTTGCACTTTGCGTGAAAGGGAGCCAAACACATTCGAAACGTTGGCACTAGTTTTGTAGCTGCAGATTCATACCCAGGTCTTGAGGGTCATCTTCCTCTATTCCGATGCCTTCTGCCAGCTCTTTCTGTTTACGGTAGTCCAGCAGGAACTGGCGGATGTTGAAGACTTCTTGGCCAGCGAGGGTCCGCTTGGACCGCGCAGACTCTTTGGTTTTGCTAGAAGTCAAAGGAAACCACCTCGCTGGAAGAAACGCACACAAGAATTTAAATTAGATGAGGTGGCGTGCTGAAAACAGCTTTGTCTTTCTTTTGATGACAAAATGTTTCATTCCATATGTCATTTTAAGTATGGTATTTAAAATTCATGACGTATTTTTATATAGTGCCCCTTTTAATTTCATGACAAACTCACCAAGTTACGGATCATTTTTTGATGCATAGATGGCTAAAAGGTTGAGATGGATATTTCCTTTCATTTTTATCCACCACTGTGGTGTAACGACAAGATGACCCTTTCGTTAACAGCGTGACATCACATGTAAGAGCTCACCAAGCGCCTTCATGAGTGCGAGCAGAACCGAGGAGAAGACAGAGGCTGTGTGATCGTAGCTGAGGTCGAGAGCCGTGAGCACGTCCTGAATGATATCTCGCACCAGAGGGAGCAAAGTGCCGTCGGAGTGAGTCAACATCACAGTCAGCACACGTGGAGCCTGGACAACAGGACAAAGTCATGTAAAAAAATATATATATTTTCCGCACGATAAGGCGCACCTTCAATATATGGCCTATCTTCAAACTGTTTTCATATATAGGGTGCACCGCATTCTAAGACGCACAGAATAGAAGCTACAATGGTAGTTGACATTGCGTTCTGCATCCACTAGATGGAGCTATGCTAAAGGAAATACAATACAATACAGCTTTATTGATATAGAGCAGGGGTGTCAAACATACGGCCCGCGGGCCGGATCCGGCCCGCAAAGGAGTTTAATCCGGCCCGCGAGATGATTATGTAAAGCATTGGTGTCAAACATACGGCCCGCGGGCCGGAACCGGCCCGCAAGTAGGTTCAATCAGGCCCGCAGGATAATGTAAAAGTGAAAAAAATGCATTAAAGACACAGAATTAATATTTTTAATCAGGTGCAATTCATTGATTATCCGCAAGGGGACACTGTTTTGATCAGAGAAGAAGACAACAGCAGCCTCAGTCTGTCACTGAGACAGACCCATGGCAGCAGACGCTATCAATAGCACTCTTACATTTACACATTTAATAGCACTCTCCTTAGTTTGTAAGGTGTAGGCAGGGATTACATTTAGATTTTATATGCACGTGTAAATGCTTTAAAACTTGTTTTCTTTATGAATCTTGTTTAATCTTAAAGTGCATTACTATATTTTTCAATACCAATTACTTGTTAAAGTTTGTACAATCAGTGGGATCAGTTGCAATGCATATATGTGAATGATAAAAGTAAATTGCACATTTGTCGAAGGAAATGTAAGGTGCTTCATGAAATGTTTTGTAAAAGATATGTTCATTAAATTTCAATATTTTCCTAATGTTCTTGTGCTTCTTTATACCAAAACAAAGGAAAGACATATTGTTTTGGTTATTTATAGCAAAGTATTGTATCATTTTAATGGTCCGGCCCACTTGACATCTACCGAGGCCGTATGTGGCCCACCATGTGAAATGAGTTTGACACCCCTGATATAGAGCTTTCAAAACCGCTGCAGTTGTAAAAAGTGCTTTATAGAAAACTTTAATTCATCCAAGAAATCAGAATATTGATCCATATAGAAGGCGCAGTGTCGGCTTTTGCGAAAATTCAATGCTTTTAGGTGCGTCTTAGTGCGCTACTGCTCTAAAGACCTTCAGTCCAGACTGTTCAACGCCAAAAGTGACGACCAGTTCTTAGTTACTAGCGGTGGTCGTAAGGGAGAAATAAAACTTGAAGGGCAAAAATACGTTCAAACTTACCTGCGGATGCTGGCTGAGCCTCTGCAAGTTAAGTGAGATGTCATTGAGCAGATAGTCCGAGTTCTCATTAATCAGGTCCTTTAGGGACAAGTAGCCACAGGCCTTGCTGATGTCCCACATGGAGTCCAGAGCTGCTTGGCGGATCAAAAGTGTTTCCTCGCCCGCTTTCTCAAGCACGGGGTACAGTGATGTCATTAGCAGGGGACGGAAGTCGTGTCCAAGGGCCTGGGCGAAGCAGGCCACACCCTCCAGCTGGATGCACAGCTGCCAGATGTTACTATTGAGCTGGCGGACTGTTGAGGTGGGCGATGGGGCACAGGCGGAAGAGATGACTTGGAGAGGGTTGGCACGACTGTTGGATATGGGAAGGAGGATGGGCGGCTTCAGCAGCTACGGATAGAAAACGGGCAATCGTTATGCATGACTGTGGTTTGGTTTTTTTATTTATTTTGTTTTATTTATTTATTGGCCCGGCACCTGCAACACAACTCCATGAATTTGAGATTCCTGAGGCAAAGCAATACCATGCACTAACAGGGGTACGCTTACCTTTCTGTATGGGTAAAAAAAAAAAGAAAAAAAAAAGAAAATATGTCTGTATGGAAAGGCGTCTGTCGCCATACCTGTTGGTCCTGTCCACCTTGGTCAATTTCCTCATTGACTGTGATCAAGTGCCAGTTGTTCAGGCTGACGTATTCCTCCATGACCAGCATCACAACTGCTTTTAGGTCTTCCGGGGAGCGAGGAAGTCCTCCGCCTTCACCCTCTGTGACGCCGGCAGCCCCTCGGATGATTTCATTGAGAACCATGGCGGCCTGCTTTCTGTACGCCGAGGACTGGCGGTACAGATCCAAGAAGAAGTCCGTCAGCAGAAAAATGTTGCCATAGTGACCTACAAGTCCAACGCAGGAAAATGACACCATGGGTTTGGATGTCGACAGACGGGTGGCAGTGACAGATTAACCCTCATACCTAATAACTGACAGATCTCCGTGAGCACAGAAAAAATTTTCTCATCTGTAAAGAACAGAAAATGCTTCCTCCGGATGTGAGCCGAGTGCTGGGAACCTGAGCTTGGTTCTATTGTGGCATTGTGACCTCGTTCTTCTACAATACGGACATCTGTGACGTCCAACTCCAGTACCTGCGAAAACAGCAATTTATTTGTACAGCTCGGTAGGAATCTTGCGTTTCTGTATACGAGTACAATCGCCTCTACCGTTTTCACATTGTCGACGGTGTTAGTGCGATGACAGCAGGGGAAGTCTGGGTATTGAAGACACTTTCGAATTGGACCACATTTTAATGGAGTTATTACTTATGCGCATTTTCTCACATTTCCTACAATACAAATGCAGCTCTGAATGCTGTACGAACAATTTGGAACAGTGCTTTTCTATTTTTGAAAAAAAATGCTGTTATCATTGGGAGGCTTGTTTTAAAAAAAAATCAAATAATTAATAAATTAGTTAATAAAAGTCAAATAATTACAGCTGATGACTTGAAAACTATGCTGAGTGCCATTTGCACATACCATTTATAAATATCTATCATTTATCATTTATCATCTGAAAAAACATGATCATTTGCATCATAATTTAAAACGCAGTGTAATTTGGAGACAGGTTCCACCCGCGTTATATCCTTTCATCCATTGTGAAATATCCGGCAGTTACCTGCATCAGAGCTTTGGAAATCCTCTCAAGATGCACCGCTGAGTTCAGCACCACAGAGACCAGTGGTCCGAGGAGCTTTAAATAACCCAGAAAGACATTCAGGACAAACAGCTTCTTCTGGTCATCAGAGGTACGCATCAGTCTGGGCAGTGAAGTGGCCAAAGAGTGGAGATTCTCTGACAGGACATCAGTGAATGTTTGAGAGCTGTTTTTACAACTGAGATTTTTGGCGTTGACAGACATCTGATTTTTCTGGGAAGCCTTTCTGAGCGCAACTTCACACCTAAAAAAAGGAGAGAGGCTGCCAGGAATAAGCAAATACATTTTGATGAGCCCGCCCCGCTCCCCCATTTCCAATCAAAACAAACCTCTCTCTGACTCGGGGCTCTTCATCGTTAATGGCTCCGACCAGTGCCTCCAGAAGCAGCCCAATACACTCGCCCAAAGCCTGACTACACCTGTCCAGCAGGTGCTCTGCCAGCTCCACCACCTCCAGTCGAACTCTCCAGTGCTGATGTGCCACCGTGCTCGAGATGATCTTCTTCAGGAGCAAGCAGAGCTTTCCCGACGTGGTTTTCACCCAGTCCGGTGTGCGATGGACCATCAGCTGGCCAATCCTCCCCAGGTCCACGGAGGGAGACTTAACTGGCTCACTGGACTGAAGCTGAGCATCTTCCATGACGAGGCCGACAGTCCTGGACCAAACCTCAAATGACAAATAGCGTGAAATGACACGTCTTTTGTTAAAATACACTATAAATCGTTAAACTTCAGTCCAGAAAACAACTGGTTAAAAAGTTGCCTTTCTAGCCTTGACGATTAATAGTAAGAAGAACAAGAACTTATGGTACCTTGATAGCCCTAACTGTGACTCCATGACCTTGTCTGACATCTCCTGTAATGATTCGGGTCACTGTCATTGTAACTCCAGGTAAGAATGAAGCCAGAGCATTGCCTACAGCTTCCTGCTCCTGTGAGGAGGGTACTACATGATCCTCATTGCAGTCACACTGCAGAGTCAACACCTGAAGGACATTCAAGGATGCTATTTGAACATCTCTCGATTTCTCCTTCTCGGCCAAAGCCAGAAGTAGTGAAACGGCAGCTCCCAGCTCAGGCAGCATTGTGGTTTCGAAAAATTTGAATACGATATCTTCAAATGCAGCATGAAACAAGGCATTCAGGCATTTCAGCACGATTAATTTCAGCTCTTCTGATGTAGCTGCAGGTTTCCCAGGATTGTCTGGTGAACAAAGGCAGAGGCAGAGCTCTGAGAAGAGTTCATGGAGGGTCTGCCAGCTCTGAACGCAGGTATTCTCGAGGACGTGACTCATAGCTTGAACCACAGCTTGCACCACTTTGTCCTTCTTGGGTCCGGGCACTTTGAGCACAAAGCGGAGAGGGAAGAGGACATACTCTTGGAGCTGCTGCAGGGTAGCAGAGTTGACCTCCTTTAACTGTGCACTCAATGTCTCAACATGGTTGAAAGTAGGCACACGGGTCAGCCTGACACAAGCTGGACGCAGGTAGGCAAAAGCGATCTTTGGATCGCTTATAAGGGCCGTGTTTGGCGGCATCGCAGCTGCGGCCCGTTCTCTGTGAAGTAGGAAGAAAAACGAGAGGACTCGTTATAAATATGGAATACCTTCAATAGTTCATGAATTCATTCTCCTCCGAACTGCTTGTCCTCACTAGGGTCACCTCCAAAATTATTATAGAGTCCGTTTGCCTGTCTATCAATCTCTCTATTAGTAGTTGGCGTCACTTAAATGGGTAGTTTATAACTGTGAGCAAGCAATACGTGTAATGTGAAGAGGATTAGACTTTCACACATGCTCCTTCTTTTAACTGCATTCGCATTAAAAACGCAGAGTCCAATGTTCATAAACGTTGTATAGTACTATGTACGGTACTGTATGCTGAAGTAGGAACCGTACACGTTGTTGACATCCAGTATCGGAGTAATCAAATCTAGATATGTATGGAGCAACTTCCTATCGAGATGCTGTGTTAGCGTCAAAAAAGAAAAAGTCTGAAAACATACCTTCAGTTTGATTAGTTCAGAAAACCCACATTACGGCGCAAAATGCAAAAAAATGTTTCACAAGAAAAGCGCACTGGCAAACAGCTGACAAAGAACCAATGTTGATGACGTTCTTTTCTTGCGCCGAATGACACATTTTATGTGAGACGAATATGAAGTACAGCTCAGATGGTTAAAAGGATCTACTTCTGATTATCTTAAAAAATAAGGGAAATAAATTTCGATCTAAAATCATAATGTCGTTGAAAAATCCAATAAAAAATGACAAATGATGAATGTAACGTATATTAAAGTACAATAAATATTACTATGCAAGGAAAATTATTTAACAATTTTATCTCAGCCATTAATATTTTTACTTTGAAAAGTATAGAACGGAAGTGCTATTCATGAAATATGTTTTGATACAACCGGTTAACTTCTGTACAGTACTGTCTTGGTCTTGTGTAAAGCATTTCAGTTGTACGGCACATCTTTTGGTTTGTCTTCGCCCCTCCAGTCGCGACATTGGTTTCAGATAATTAGCCAGAAAACGAAGGTAATGCCAGTCAGATGATGACCAATTCTAAGAGCTAGCTCGAAAGTAGCTAATACTTTAGCCACACTAGGTCCTTTGTAATTTACTGCTGCGCTTATCGAATTTGCTAAAATCATATCGTAGCTGACTTCTAAGTAGAAAGATTAAGTGTGCAAAAAATATAAATGCAAATGATTTAGGTATTTTTCTGGATTCTGTGTTTCTATATTCAATGTTTTGGACTGAATGAAATGAGTTAGCTCTGCATGGGAATTGCAATGACCATGTAAATACAGTCGAGTCGGACAGATTGCGCTATTTCACCACTCTAGTGTACATCATTCTCCCCAATGCTTGGATATTGTCAAGTAACTTATTATTATTATTGTCATTATTATATGTATTATCCAGGGGCGTGCGTCTCTCCAATAAAAGATGATTCGAAACGTATCGCAATACATGGGGTGCGATCCGATTCAAGGACGGTTTATTACTGAGACCCTTGTGAGGATAGGCAAGTGGTTTGTAAAATGGAAGGATGGCTGGAACTTGCCGACATGTGGTTGTTAATCAAAAGTGATTCTCACTATTTTGGTAGTTTAACTCGTTTCCACTTTAAATGATGCATTTCTCTTGCACACTTTCCCCAAAGGCTGGATGCCTTTCTTTCCTGTTCCGCCCAGCCTGGAGTGACACTATGGATGAAGAAACCCTGGAGGGCGCCATCTCTACATATGAAGCCCAGCTGCAGCAAGTGGATGCCACTCTGGCTGCCGGCCTGGACCCCTCTCAGCAGAGTGACCTGCTCAAACTGAAAGAGGACCTGTGTCATCTGATAGAACTCACCAAGGCCAGCCTGCTGTCTTTCAGAAAGAGTCTGCTTCTGGCTTCCCTGGAGGACACTAGTGGAGTGCCGGCCAATGCGCAAAAGCCTGCGGCTGACACAAAAGGCGTTTTGGAATCCGAGTTTGCTGCTTTCTACAATGAAGTTGGGGAGTTTTCGGGGAATAGCTCTGATTTGAAGGAACAAGACCAGGACACTGATGATTTTGTAGAAGATGAATGTGAAGAAGAGGACGGGGATGAGCTAGACACACTGAGTGGTACCAAAGTAAGAGCACCTTACAGGACGTCGTGGGGGACGTTGGAGTACCACAATGCCATGGTGGTTGGGGCAGAGGAACCAGATGGAGAGGAGGCACAAGTTAGAGTTTTGTACATTTGTCCCACGCAGAAGTCCATGAAACCATGTCCATTTTATCTCGAGGACAAATGTCGCTTCCAGGATAACTGCAGGTGCCTTTTTTTTTTACCTCCACTTTCATCATTGTGTATCTATGCATTTGCGATCAGAATTTCTAGTGAGCTGACGAAGCACCGAAAAGGTGTTCACCTAGAATTTTCCCCCTTGTTTTGCTACCATTATCTGATGTTAATAATTTCATTTCTTAATTTCTCAGTGAGTAATCCTGAAGTCTTTCTCTATCTCACTCTGCGTGTGTGTGTGTGTGTGTGTGTGTGTGTGTGTGTGTGTGTGTGTGTGTGTGTGTGTGTGTGTGTTTGTTTGTGTACATATATATACTTATTTATTGAGTTGTTTATTGTATAATTCTAATTCAATTCAGACATTTTGTGCTTGCAAATATTGTCCAGCAGGTGGAAGCAAAACCATATTGTCCATATTGTTATCAATATCAAATCAGCTTGATTACTATTCTTCATAGTGATTATTGTTATTATTATTATAAAAATAGAATTGGCCAAGTAGGAACATTCTTTTACATTGGTTTACTATGAACTCAAAAATTCCCAATGTTGACATCCTTAATATCACACCTGTAGAATCCCTGCCTTGTTTCTTTATTCACGGTCTGCAAAGGTTTTCCCACGGTGAAGTGGTGTACGTGTCAGAGCTCAGAGACTTCCAGGACTGTGACCTCAGTAACCTCGAGGAAGGCTCATCCTGCTTGACTCGGCATGAGGATGGCATCTGGTACCCGGCCAGAATCACAGGTACTGGGCTCGTTTAAGAGTTTACAAGTTAATCTTAAAACTGCACGACCCAATGACACTGGGCTTCTCTGTGACATTTCTGGATGAACTTAAATGCACTTTAACCCTTTCATGCACCAAAAATCATATCCTGTAACCGGATAACATGGTATGCTGTCCACTGTAGTATCCGCTGTCCCTGAAAGGGTTAACGTCAAAAGATGAACTTGAGTTGACCTCTAAACACTGGCAAAAATTTTCAGCAGGTACAGAATCACCTTGCATGTTTGTTGTTTCCCTCATGTAGATATGGACAATGGCTTCTACACAGTGAAGTTTGACTCACTGCTGCTCAAAGATGCTGTCGTTGAAGCCGACTGCATCATACCACCGCTGAGAGAAGAAGACCCACTCTCCTCTGACTCGGACCAGGACGATGCCGAAGATGATGCGGCGTATGCGAAAGGTCATTTTCAATCAGATTTTACACGAGACTTTTGTTTTGGCGGTACACAGTTTTGTCAAAGTGCATTGTTCCTATTTTTCAGAAATTTCTGGTGTGTGTTTTGTGTTTGATTGAAACCTCTTTCCCAACAGTTTTGGGGTCCGGCGGTGAATCGACTGCAAACAATGCTTCCATTTTTGGAGGTTGGGAGGCTCACACAAGAGGCATCGGATCCAAGCTAATGCTCAAGATGGGCTATGAATATGGCAAAGGTGGGTGAAAATGGACTTGAAACACTACAATTTTGAATAATTTTGATGTACCCGTACTACTCCGCATTTGCTTGGAGGAAGAATGGAAAAGGAATGTTTATCTGGCCACAGAAAAAGACATTTTGACATGTCACAGTCACACGTAAGAAGCTGAATTCAATCCCGAAGTTTTTGTTTCAGGCTCTCAATTTCGCACGTGCCGGCTCACTAAATGAAGAACACAAATTCCTGCGAGAGACCGAAGCATTTAGAGTGAGATTTCTGCTTCAGGGTTCACCCTACTGTGCATTGTGTTAACTGACAATGTCATGGTCTAAAGCTAACAAAGCTAAGCCATCAATGTACATGCTAACACAACTCTGAGTGTTATACCATCAAGTCTTGTGGCGGGGGGAACAGATCATTTTAGTAACAAAAGAAGACGGAATGGTCCACTAAGATTACTAAAGCAAGCGATCCAAGATTATCATGGAAACACCAAAACCATATTCTCCTTATTGCAAGCTAATGTTATTTATTGAAGGCTAAATTTTCCACAGCTCTTAAGCCAGAGCTCAAAACATGAGCATTCTACAAGTGGAGCGACGTAAGCGGATTCTCATTCACAGCAATAAAACTTCAATATCGCCATATGTAACGTGGTTAGGTTCTTTTCACGCTTGATTTACAAAAAAAAAAAAAAAAAAAAAAGAGCACTAAAAATTGAACATTGACCTTGACACTACATCTTACATCGGACTTAGCGTGACTTATAACACTGTCTGTACAGTGAATACATTTTTTATGGAGCCAGTTTGACCTTGGAACACATTATTTATATTTTCCATGGGAATTATTCTTATTATATTTTTAATTCAAACTAATTGGTGGTCAACTAGATTCCCAGCACAGAAGATTTATGACCTTCGAGGTCCCAGTGCAACATCTAAATATTCCTCATTTGTTTAAGTTTTAGCCCAATTGGACCGTAGGGGGACAAATATATTCAGCTAGCTAGTTAAGGTAATAAAATTGATAATTGATCAATGACACAAGCCTGTAACCATTTATCTCAAAAAAATCACCAGCTGTCGTTGCAATTAAGTAAATAAAGGTCAAAGTTGTGACATGAGGCATCAGCCAATCTTTATTTATTATTTTACCCCCATCTAATGCACTGATCTGTATTTGTAAGGTAACATGACCAAGACAAAGTAAAAGAGGTTGTGTATCCGATTAGAGCCAGAAATGTGAATTACAACCCGTTCTTTGTCCAGGATGTTTCCACCTTGATGTTTGTAGGCGGCGTTGAGCCATCAATTTGAAATTGAAAACAGAACATGACAGGGTCGGCGGTTTCGAGACGAGATGCGGCTCTTGGTTATTTCTCTGTTTCCAGTGCCATTGATATGCGTTCCCACATCGGTGCGGTTGCAACATATCAATCACAAAGGAGCCACGCCTAAAACAGTGCCCCGCTTTATCATCGACCTCAATCTAAATTGGAACATGATTTATCTTTTGAGCGTCTCGGCGTATTGAAGCAGACATGAATACAGATCGAAACCATAAACCGAACTTTCACCGCAAGTCTGTCTCGCTTATTTTCGCAGGTTTGGGGAAAACGCAGGAAGGTCGAGTGGAGCCCGTCATGGCGGTGCTCGTACCCAAAGGGAAATCACTGGACCAGTGTGCCGAGTTAACTCTGAGATGCGCTCAGAGCAAGCCAAACGATGGCGTGAAAACAGGCCGGCCAAAGCGTCGGCGGAAGCCACGGGAGGCCAACGGCGAGCGCCGAACTGTCTTTGACTTTCTTAACCGCAAGCTCGGCGCCAAGGAGCTTGACGCTTCCGTGGAGGGGGCGGCAATGGCCGCTGGGTCGTCCTCACTCACCGG